ACGGGGAGCAGGGTAGGTCCGGGGGGGCAGGAGGGGGTGCGGGGGACGTTTAGTGGGCCAGGGGCTGCCTGGAGAGGGCATAGGTAAGGCTTCGGGGAAGGGCTCAGGTCAGGGCTGTGGGGGGACAGGGGCTGCCCTGGCTTGGTCAGGCCACAGAGAGCTCAGCGCCGTCAGGGAGAGGGGAGGTGTCTTTTTGAGGGGCAGAGCTGGACCCCAAGGGCCTGCAGAGCATCTGGGAGCAGGTTTGGGGGAGGCAGGGCCCCGTGGGGTCTTTGCCTGCATCCCCCAGCAGCAGCGGGAGGTCTTTGGTGGCACCAACTTCAAAACCGTGCCCTGTCTTAACCGCCAAGACGGGACTCTCAGCCACGGTGATGGGTGGAGAGTGGGCTGAGGTTCCCGGGGCAGCGGCCAAGACCTTACCTGAGGCGTTTTTTTCTTGGTAGCACCCCACATGTGCATAATTTTGGGGGAATAGAGAGGCCTGAGTGAGTCTGAGCCGACCCCTTCTCTCCCGCCAGGAGAACTACGACGACCCCCACAAGACGCCCGCCTCCCCGGTGGTGCACATCCGTGGGCTGATCGACGGCGTGGTGGAGGCCGATCTCGTGGAGGCCCTGCAGGAGTTTGGCCCCATCAGGTGAGGAGACGCGTTGGGGGACGTGCGCGGCGGCTGCGGCACCGTGGCGTCGGTCTGACTACGGCCTTCGCTGTCCTAGCTACGTGGTGGTGATGCCCAAGAAGAGGCAAGCCTTGGTGGAGTTTGAGGACATCCTCGGCGCCTGCAACGCTGTTAATTACGCAGCCGACAACCAGATTTACATCGCTGGTCACCCCGCCTTTGTCAACTACTCCACCAGCCAGAAGATATCCCGCCCCGGGGACACGGACGATTCCAGGGGCGTCAACAACGTCCTGCTCTTCACCATCCTCAACCCCATCTACTCCATCACGACGGTGAGTGACGCGCTGGGGGAACCCGAGGGTTTTGGGAACGCAGAGCCGGGCACGCGGATCTCTCCCAGCCCTGGCATCCACAGGTCTGGGGGGGCTCTGGGGGGCTGCCGCTGTGCTTCAGCCAGGTCCCTCACTGCTTCTCGCCTGTCGTGTCCCCCAGGATGTGCTGTACACCATCTGCAATCCCTGCGGCCCCGTGCAGAGGATCGTTATCTTCAGGAAAAACGGCGTCCAGGCCATGGTGGAATATCCTTCCGTGCCCCAAGAGCCCGGGGCTGCCTCTCGTGTTTTTTTTCTGCTGCGGGTTTGTGTGGCTCTGCCTCAGACTGGTCGCCTCGGCCGCGCTTCGGCGTGTCCTGGCCAGCTACGGGGAGGGAGCTGAGGACGTCCCGAATTATCTGCGTCCCGTGGGTCTGTTTGCTCTGCTTGGGGAGCGACGCCTGACACGCGCCATGGTCGAATCCATTCTCCCAGACAGCGCAAACCCATTCTGAAGACGCTTTCATTTCCGTAAACGTCCTTAACGCCACCAACATTTGACTCCGTGCAGAGCGCCCAGCGAGCCAAGGCGTCCCTCAACGGGGCCGACATTTACTCCGGGTGCTGCACGCTGAAGATCGAATACGCCAAGGTAAGCATCCGCGCCGGCAGCGCACACCCCTCCTGGGGTGACGTTGCCGACACCTGACGCTTCTCCGGGTGTTTCTCGCAGCCCACGCGCCTCAACGTTTTCAAGAACGACCAGGATACCTGGGACTACACCAACCCCAACCTTAGCGGACAAGGTAATCTCCGATGAAGCGCTTTGTACCTACGCACACGGTCGGGCACAGCACTCTCATACCGACCCACAATATGTAATGCCATTCGCCTGCCCGTACCTTCAGCCGGAGCTCGTGTGGGCTCGACGGGGAGAGGGCTCGGGGGGCGAATTGAGTCGAAAAAAACGAGCGGCGATGGCCGGGGGTTTCTCTCGGCGGTTTGTTGTGCGCATTGCTTGTCGGGGAGCATCGGTGTCAGGCGCGTGAAGCGAGGGGGAGTCTCTGCACCAGCGATACGCGGTTGTTTTTTTTATACTTAATGAGTTTCTGGGGGTTTTGGGGGAGGGAACTGCCATTGCTTTCTTGTGTTTGCCCCGCTGCCGGCTCTTTGCGTGCCTCATGTTCCAAACTGGATTTACCAAAACAGGGCTGCGTCACCCTCCCAGAGCCGAGGGGCGAGTTGGAAACGCCCCTGGCCTGGCAGGGGGGCACCCGGCCCGTCTGTAAAACCGGAGGGGGGACGCCGGCTCCCTTGAGCTTGGGGAGGGGTGGAAAAAAGACACGCACCCCCCCAAACTCTGCACTCGTGGGAGCGGACGTCTCCCACTCCCGGCTGTTGATGCCCTCCGTGTCGGGCTGCGCCGGGTCAGCCCCTCACGAGGAGCTCGGCGACGCTTGTTTTGGGTTTTTTTGGTTTGTTTTTCCTTTTCTGAAGTAAAATGCTTCATGTTTTACGGGGTGTCG